CTGGTGCCCGGCGGGCAGGATGCGAGCCCCGCGGCGGAGGTGAGGAGCGTGTCCGTGCGTGCGTGTGTCGTCCGTGGGTGCGTGTGGCCGTGAGTGATGCGGGTCGGGATGTCCGTGTGCCCGGGACACCCGTGGGGACTGTGTGTGCCCGGGACACCCGTGGGGACTGCGTGTGCCCGTGCTGGGCTGTGGTGATGCCGTGGCAGGTTGAGGCCCAGGTACCAACCTGCATCGGTGTGGCCGAGATGCGGCGGGAATGCAGGTGTATGCCCTCGGGGCTGTGTGGGGCCGCACACTGCCTGTCCCAAGCCCCATCCTTCTCGGGCCGTGGGTGTCCCCTGCCTGCTGCTGGCAATGGGGATGTGGGACACCCCGCTTCCAGCCGGCCTGGTGGCTGGCTGGGCCCCACGCTGGGCCTGCTCTGCTCAGAGTGCTGGGCGGGTGGAGTGTGCTGGGAGGCTGTGGGTCAGGGGTGGCCCTGCGGGAAGGGCTGTGGTCTGGGGGGCTGGCATGGTGAGTTTGGCTTGCCCTGTCTCCTCAGCCCTGTTTGCATCCTCCCTGCTCTTCCCTTGGTTCTGTCCATCCCCAATTCCAGCCTGAGCTGCCGGACAGACCGTTAGTCCCGGCACCCAGCCCGAGCCTCTGGGCCCCAGGAGCCGTGCCGGCTGCCACGCATGCGATGCAGTGCTGGGAACCGTCCTTGCCAGGAATGTGGGTAACGCCAGCCCCTGGCTCCCCCCGTCCTGCCGTGCTCAATGGAGACCTTGTTACCACGTGTGGTGGTTGGCTGTGCCGTGTGCCCTGTGCCGTGTGTCCTGTGCTGTGCGCCCTGTGTCCTGTGCCATGTGCCCTGTGCCGTGCACACATGCCTCAGCACGCAGGCGGCCACCACGGTTGTGTCTGGCTGTCCCCGGCTCCACCTCCCCAGGGGCAGCACTCAGCCCCTGCTGAAACATTTGTGCCGACGAGTCAGTGGGGAGGCAGGCTGTGCCACACTCAGCATCCCGGCCCCGGCACCGAGCTGCCGTGCTTGCCTTGGCCTTTGCCACGGAGCCTCTGCCAGCCCGGAGACAGTTGCTGGCACCCAGAGTGGCTGTGGCTGAGCAGGGGGCTGGGGGCTGTCATCCATCCCTCTGTCTGTCCATCTGTAGGAGGCAATCCGGCAGCAGGAAGAGGTGAGTTGTCATCTCAGGGTGCTGGGAGGTTGGGGATGCTCTCCCGTGGGGCAGTGGTCACTCTCACACTGCCCACATGCTGTGGCCCTGGCAGCCACCCCTGCACTCTCCCCTCTCCCCAGCGGCACCTCGGAGTGCCGGTGCTGGCAAGCAGCACTGCTAGCCCTGTTGCAATGCCACGGAGATGCTGTGAGTCAGCGGGTGCTCTGAGTCAGGCCTACGTGGCACCCCTCGTGCCAGGGCTTGAAGGTACATTGGGTGGGAAGTGTTGCCCGGAGGGTGGGCAGCCCCAGGGCTGTGCCCCCCTCCAGCTCCGTGCCATGCTGGCAGCTCTGCTCCAACTCCTGGCGTGGCATGGCCGGCATGAAAGGGCTCTTGTCCTCCCTGCAGCCCCGGCAGCACCGTGGCAGCCCTCCCCCTTCGCAACAAACAAATTCCCAGTGTTGGGCACAGGGACCGGGAGGGGGGAGCCCCCATCCCGCCCAGCTGGCCGTGGCCATGGCAGAGCCCGGGGCTGCTGGTCCCAGTGTCTCTGTGGCCCAGCATGGGGCTCCCAGTGCTGGTGTTGGGGAATGCTGGCTGGTCTGCAAGAAACGGGGTGCTCTGCTCACTCACCCCAGAGCCCACAGCCAGCCACGATGCTGGGCTGGCCCTACCTCAGGATGGCTCTGAGGAGCCCCCATGGCACTGGAGCTGCAGAGTTTGTGGCCTCCTGTCTGGGTATCACCCCTTTGGGTGTTGCCTCTCCTTAGGTGTTGTGCTTCCTCTGGTACTGCACCTCCTCTGGTGTTGCACCCCCTGGTATCACACCTCCTTGGGTATTGTACTGTGTCTCTGTGGATACTGTGCCTCTGGGTATCACGAATCCTTGGGTATCAGGCGTTAGGCTGTCCTGCCTCCTTGATTGCTGTGTCCCCAGGTATTATGCTTCTGGGTGTCATGTCTCCTTGGATGTCATGTGGGTGTTGTGCTTCTTTGGGTATTGTGTCTCCTGGGATATCATGACTTGAGATATCGTGCTGCTAGGTACTGTGCTTCCTTGAGTATTGTGTGTCCTTGTGCATCTTGAGTCTGGGTATTGTGGCTTCTTGTATGTTTTAATCTGTGGGTACTGCATCCCTGGGTATCACTCCTCCTGGGGTGTCATGCCTCCGGAGATCATGGCTCCCTGGATATTGTGCCTCTGGTTATTGGGTCTCCTCAGGTGTTGTGCTTCTGGTTGATGTACCTCTGGGTACCACCCCTCTGGGTACTGTGCCCCTGGGTACTGTGCTTCTGTCATGCTGGTTATGTTATGTGTCATGCTGGTTATGTGTCATGCTGGTTATGGTGCCTGGCAGGGCACAGGGCCAGGCCTGGCTGGTGCTGGTGTGTTTAAAGCCACTGTGCCTCAGTTTCCTCTCGTGGTGGGTTGTTGCTGCAGGGGCTGTGGCACCCTGTGGCCACGTCCCCTTGCTCCCTCCGAGGCCGGCAGTGCTGTGTCACCTGCCTGCAAAGTGCTGGTGTGGTGTGCCCAGCTCTGGGGACATGGCCCCAGGGCCACTACCATTGTCTGTGCCACAGAAACATGCTGGCCCTGCCCGGCTGCTGGGGCTCAACCTTGTGAATGTGGGCAGGGCACTGTGTCTACCATGGTGCTGGGGACAAGTGCCCATGTCCCTGCTTATGGGACTCCAGTAAAAGGCTGTCATGCTGAGATTAGAAAATAAATACTCTGTTTTTTTTTTTCCAAGGGAAAAAAGTCTGGGTTTTTTTATTTGTGGGTTGGTGGGGTTTTTTTCTCTTTCTTTTAAATCATGAAATGACTCACACTTCTCAGCTGAAAATAAACCTGATTGTGGCTGTGGTGGGGAGCTGATGAGCTGTGATAGCATGGAGGCATGGGGCCCCTCGCAGAGTGGTGGGGGCTAGCCCTGCCTGAGGCAGCCCCTGCTTGCTGCCAGCACCCAGACCCCCTCCTCAGGGTGGCGGGGGTCTGCTGTGGGGGCTCAGCTGGCCCTGCCAGGGCTGCTAATGGGGCTAAAGTGCTCCTAAGGGGGCACCGCCATCTGCACAGCCCTCAGAGCCTTGCATCTTTGCACTTAGAGCAGATGCTTCCCAGCTGCAGGCACACACACGTGCACTCCCATGTGTACACGGACCCCTGTGCCTGCACGCACAGGCATGCACCTCCACCCTGCCATGCATCCTCACGGATGCACAAGGGTTTTTGCCTTGCCTGGAATTCACCCCCGACCCTGGGCAGGCTTCTGTGTGACTGGTTGATGTCGAGTTCGCCTTTGCCGCCTTCCCAGTGCCCATCAGCCACTTGCAACCCTCCCAGGGTGGGGAAGACGCAGCAGTCACTGTGCAGAACCTTTGGTAAAATCCACCACCACCCTCCCTGACCTCTCTGGCACAGCAGCTGGGTAGTGCATGAGAAGTCCTGGGGGCTTGACCCCCGATGCTGTGTGTGACACGGCTGTGTGCTCCTCTCCACAGGGACCCCTGCAGTGGCAACGGGCCAGCTGTGCTCCCCGGAGCCAGCTGCATGGCAGGTAAGACACCCTGAGACACCTTCTCCCCCTACCCCACACACCCCATTCTTGTGCCCCATCAAGGGTGATGTGCCAGTGCTCAGCAGCCCGGCAGCATGTGTCACCCCAGCGGATGGCCAGCGGCTCGCTGGGCCCCGAGGCATCCTGGCGTCCCTCCTGGTGACATCTCGGAGGCAGGCGGTGCATGGAGCAGCTGCTTTGCTCATCTGACTGCCGCTCGCTCTTGCTCCCTCCCAGCTTCCCAAGACAGGCTGTGGGGTGAAGGCGATGAGGACCTCATGCTGGCTGAGCCGGGGGGGTCTCATGGCCCCCCGGGTGCTCAGCCCCAGCCTGGCCCCTTGGTGCAAACGTGTCTCCTCCAGGACCTGGAGATGGGTCCCCTCGCCCAGACACAGACCCTGAGGGACTTCGAGCAGGTGAGACCATGGAGTGCTGGGCCCCCGCCATGGCACAACCAGCACCCCCTCAGCACTGCCAGGTGCTTGCAGAATACATTCCAGACCCCCTGGGTACACCAGTGGGGTGCAGAGGGCAGGAGGGGGGTGTGGGGCAGGCAGTGGTGGGATGGGGAGAGGGGACTCAGTACCCCCCCCCTGCCCCGGGCACTGCGCTCCCCCTCACTGCCCTCCTGACTGAGGCGCGCGGGGGCCGCCCGGGGCTCGGGTTTCACCACCCGCCTGTCCCTGCCATCCCTGCTCCGTCGATTCCTCAAATAGCTGCAGGAGGTGAAAAAAAAAAAAAAAAAAAAAAAAAAAAAAAAATCAGACCTT